TCCATACATCCTAAAGTGGCCATGCTTGAGGAATACTGATCTAAAGAGAAGTTCTAAATGAGGGTTTTTTCCCAAACTGGGCAACTTTTAAAGACAGGGAATCTCTGGTTCGTTTAATCGCTTGTAGCAGGAAAAGACAATACGAGCAACCTAACAAGCTCCAGCACACATTCGTTGCGGCAAAATTCTGCCATTTTTATGGCAACTGAGCGATATTATTTCTCTTCCCAATTTGCATTATAGAAATAAAGCCACCTTCCCAGAAGGCAACCTTTCATGGTACATGAGCAATGCTTTCATCGTTGGAATTTACTATATAAACTCATTATGTTATTAAAAGTACTCATCTTTCGATCACAATTGAATCCAAAATTTCCACTTGCTAAGCAAGATAGTTAAGTGATGTTTGCTCCATTTTACGACCTTTCTTGTCCCAGTTGTTAAGTGAATGAATCACAGTGGTTGTTAAGTTAGTAACACAGTTGTTAAGTGAACCTGGCTTCCCCATTAGTCTGTAGAGATTTGCAGTCATCCAGGTCCTGGTTGTCCCAAAGGTGTTTCTTTTCAGGAGGCAACTGGACTTTCTTTGTTTTTCCTTGTAGATGTTTCACTTCTCCTTCCAGGAAGCTTCTTCGGCTCTGACTGGATGGTGGGGAATGGAAGGATTTAAACTCCTTGCAGACAGCTGGTCATTTGCATCCTTTTACAGGGTCATTGAGGCCACTTGGAGGTTTATCTGTGTCCTCAGGGTCACTTGAGTAGTGCAAATGGTTCCTGTAGTCTGCAATTTTTTCCTCTGGAAATCCATTCCTACTCGCACCCCATTCCAAGGGTGTCCATCCCAAATTGTATAGCTAAAAGTCTGTAGAGATTCTCAGTCATCCAGGTCCTGGTTGTCCCAAAGGTGTTTTTTTTCAGGAGGCAACTGGACTTTGTTTTTTCTTTGAAGATGTTTCACTTCTCATTCTAAGAAGCTTCTTCAGCTCTGACTGGATGGTGGGGAATGGAAGGATTTATGCTCCTTGCAGACAATGGCTTCCCCATGGATTTTGCTTCTCAGAAAGTCACAAAAGCTGATCACATGACCCTGGGACACTGCAGCCATCACAAATATGAACCAGTTGCCAAGCATCCAATTTTGATCACATGACCATGGGAATGCTGCAAAGGTCGTAAGTGTGAAAAGCAGCCATTTTTTTCAGTGCTGCTGTAACTTTGAATAGTCACTAAACAAATAGTTGTAAATCAAGGATTATTTGTATTTGATTAATATCATACCATTTGGCTGTTTAAATTCTATTTCATGTTTGTAATTCCTACATTGGTTAAGACTGTTATGTCACTGTAAGTGTGTTATGCTTTAAATGTTGACTGTTTATTTTTAAATTTTATGATATTGGTAAGCCAGCACGAGGCACCAGGCTAGGAAGGAAGAGACCGTGAGTTCAAGTCTTGCCTTAGCCATGAAAGCCAGCTGGAAGACTTTGGGCCGGTCACTCCTTCTCAGCCCAATCCACCTATTTGTTGTTGTTGTTGTTGTTGTTGTTGTGGAGAAAATAGAAGGAGGAAAAGTATACGGTGTGTGTTTGCTGCCTGATTTGTAATAAATAAATAAATAAAGGCGGGATATAAATAACTAACACTCAAGATGTCATGGATATAAATGGAGTGAATGAATAAATAGCAGTATTACCATGGAGTCGTTTGAAATCCAAATTATATTCATGCCATGCAGGCCAAAATGATCTAAGGAATAATATAGGAAAGCACTTAAGAGGCATTTCCAATAGGTGAGTCAGTATGAGAATCATATGACAGGGCTACTTTATTCTTCCTTGGTCTTGGAAGATGTTAACTATAATTGGGCATCATTGGGCAGATGTTTCTACATCTGACCTGGGACTGAAAAGGAATTTCAGTTCACTGCACAGGTTCTCCAACTGGGAAGGAAACCCAGTTCTGAAGCCTAGGAAACAGACCAGTGTCTGTTTCCACTTTAATCACCTTTGCTTCTAAACAGCTTGGCTGCAAAAGCTCTGTGCAATACTTCCTTTTCATAATGCAATGCCCGTTATCTAAGCAGACAAATATGGTCCTTCCCAGCATATCCTGTTCACTATCAGAAAGCTGAATAAGCAACCTGGGAAGAATGTATACCGATCCCAAAGGGGGACAGTCGCTCAAATGAATTTAGGCAGAAACAACAGGAAGGGAAATGAGGTCAGTGACAGAATCAGAACCAGGCAACCCACAGTGCCTTCCTCTGTTTGTCCGCACAGATCAGGGTTTGGCTGCCAAAGGTCCTGAATTTTGTGGGTCAGCGGGAGCATCTGCGATCCGGAGCGTCACTCCTGGGGGTTATGACTTATCAGCAAAGGGAAGCTAATCTATTCACAAAATGTCTATCCCAAAACAAAGAAGGATGGAAGAGGCCAAGGGAGGATGTGTCTATTGCAGGGGTGTCAAACTCGATTTCATTGAGGGCCACCTCAGGGTTGTGTTTCACCTCGGGGCCCCCATGGCCAGCTCAACGTCACTCATCGAAGCTCCGTTTTCGGCGTGACGGCCTCCTGCAGCCCTCTGCCAGTGAAAACGGAGATCGGGAGGGCTGCACACAGCCTCCCTGAGCTCCATTTTCGCTGGCAGAGGGTTGCAGGAGGCATTGCAGTCAAAAACGGAGCCCGGGAGGATTGTACATCACCCTCCCGAGCTCCATTTTCATGGGCCAGTCCATCACAGTTTCCAGGGCAGGCCAGATGTAAGCACCCTGCGGGGTGGATCCAGCCTGGGGGCCTTGAGTTTGACCCCCCCCCCCCGGTCTGTTGCTATACTGCTGCTTGGGAAGAATATATATTTAAAGAGAATCCAATTTACCCTTAAAAATAAAGGATAAATGCACATTCACTGTAAAAGGTGTGCAATACATTCAAAAACAAATCTCAGATTCAAAAGTTAGCTTTCTCTTTCCAGCCACCTCTTTAAGATACAAAATAAACCTGCAAGTTCATGCATTTAAAACAAACCTCATTAATATATTAAATCACTAACCTCCAGATTGAAAAGTCTTACCGCTGTGGCAACCACTTCCTCTATGTCAAAGGGCCACAAAAATTGGGGAAGCAAAAATGTATAAATGAAAGATCAAAGAGGAGTGAAAATTATACTTTTTCAAACCCAAAGCCAAGGTAATAATGGCTTATTCTCAGACTGTAAATGTACTTTAAAAATGGTTTGAAAATGTAAAAAAAAAAAAAAACATGGTAAGCAAACTTTTATTTGTCAGAATCAAGAAACTACCGTATCCAACACATCTGGAACCAAAGTCAAGCCTCAACCCTACAAATATCTCTTCCAAACTATTGCAGCAATCATTCGGATAAAAACTATAACAAAGTTAACAGTTTAGATCCTCACATCAAAGGAGTGTTTAGAAGAGCTGGCAACCAACAGAAAGCCTAGGAAGAATTTGATCTTTGCTGTACCCACAAAACTGCAAGAAACAAATTAAGTACTGGGGCAATAGCAACAAAACACCCTTTGGAGGACTGAAAAACAATACAGATTAAAAAGCAAAAAAAAAGTCTAAATGATTCTTATAATAACAAGACGTTCCTGTTACACCAGATAACCTCCTTTGCTGCAAATGCTTTGTGCCACCCCGCCCATCCCTGAACTACCTAATACCTGGCCCTTATTTAAAGGTTCGATTATTACACCTAGCTAGGAAAGACAATTCTGGAGAAAAGGCTTTAATAAGACATGGCATATTCAGAATGCAGAGCCTTATTCTAGGAGGGTGGGAGAAGAAATGAGAATCGGGGAGGAAAAAGTAAGAGGGAATAAAAAATATATATTAATTTGACTGGTTTATTTCCATTCTTTTTTTCCCCCACCTGAATCAAATACCTTGTTTTTACGTAAGTTTGGCTAGAATTAAGTGATTTGTCTCTGAATAACAGGCTATCTACATATTGGTAGGATGCTAATTTAAAAAAAAAAACTTCTGTTCCTAACCATTTTAATAAAAATTTATAATAAATTCTTCAGAAATTCAAGCTTTCTCAGAAGTCTTTATCCTTTCCTTAAAATGAGGTCTATATAAATGAGGTTGTTATATTAATCTCTCTATATATCTATTTGCATGGCAGAAGAGAAAAGCTGGTCTTGGGTTCAAGGTTCACCGCCAAGTATCTCAGCCTGAGTTTTTTTTTACAAGCCAAAGTTTGTTTGTTTTTTTCCACACACACCCCCCCCACAAAGGCCGGAAATGAGAAAGAGAATTATTAAGATGAGAAATTGATTATTATTATGCCCTGGGGGCAACAACAACAAAAAGAAAAGAAACCAGGAGGGAAGGTTATGCATCCTCCGGGGCCCATCTGACAAGGAACGGGTCTCAAAGGATCCTGGGGGGGGGGGGTGAAGAGACCCCACCAAGGACCACCCAAATCCAGCCCCCCCCCAAAAAAACCCTATTTATGCAGGTGGGGCACCTGCAGTCCGTCCCCACCTGCACCTGCCCCCCCCCAAAAAAAAGTGAATGAGGGGGAAGAAGTCACATTTGGCCTAGATTGACCCCTTGCCAAGAGGGGAGGGGGGCTGTCCTGGGGGGGGTCAAGGGAAAGGAGAGCCCCCACCCACCCACCCACCCAGGAGGGCGTCCAATAAAGGAGCCGAGGCAGCTTTCCTCA